CTCATTAAACTCAACTCAACTCGGTACGAAACATACCCTCGTTCGGATAAGAGATCTCCGGCGACGAATGTGACCGTCGAATCTGGTGAAGAATCTGTCCCTGAGGCTCAAATCCACCGTCTTTCGATCAGATTCGGTCTTCTCCGTAGCCTCCATGATTCCCGACCCGGTTTTGGCATCAAAGTCGACGTCCCAGCTGGATGGGAGATTCCGGTGGCCGTGGTCACAGTTGGCTTGACGGTGTACTTTGTTTGCCGTTACAACCGCGGATGAGGAGGAAGGAAGGAGGAGTCTTTATGTTTAACAGAAAAAGATCGAGTCTTTAAGTAAGTTAAGTTCAAGTTTCTTGTTTTAAGAGTCGAATAAGTCTAGTAGTGAAGGTCGGTTTTCATTTAATCTGTCTTTTTCCCATTTTTTGGTTATGAAAATGGAAGGACAAACAAGTTTATGAGTGAAAGTTAAGTCTATGAGAGTCTTAGCGTGAAAGTTCGAGTCTTTGGATTGAAAGTTGAGTTATGTTTATGTAAGTTTTGTGCGAAAAAATAAGAAGTGGATTGTAAAAAAAGAATTTTTTTCAGTTTCATGTCTCTAGTTGCACTCTTTTTATATTTTTGATACTTTCTTTTCATCTGTTTTTATGTTTCATAAATAAAGAATGATCCAAGTTTAGGAAAAAAAAATGATCGAACTAAATTAATAAAGAGAAAACGGTTATTTTAATATCGAACTATCTGTTTGGAGCCAAAATAAATACCAATTTTCTAATGAGTAAAAAAAAATACCAAACTTTGGTATATAATTAATCAATTTTAGCTGCGGTTAAAAAACTGTTAATTACCGTTTACTTTAACCCTTAATTGCAAATTTTATTTTCTTTCAACCCCAAAACGACAAATGTGGTCATCATGATCATCTGAAGCAAGTAGAGCAACTTTATTTTGTGTAGCCTTGAGCAACGGATCAACTCAGATTTCTTCTCTGATCAGATCGTCTTCTCTTACGGCCTCTCCGATTCGCCTCCACCTTTTGGATCCGCCGCCGTCGTCAAGGTCTCCCTCTAGTTCCCTTCTCCTCTGGTTCTGCTATACGAGTAGTCATAATATGAATTGTAAGTTGCAATGGTGGAAGTTTTGGAATTAGAGCTGCTCTTTGTGCAGGTTTCTGATTCTAGCGAAGATGTTTCTGCTTCTTCTTGTGATTCTACTTCGTCGGAGTTCGTGTTGGAGTATCTCCGGAAGGAAGAACAGGTACTATTTCTAGATTCTTTGACTTATGTTTTTTGTTTGTCTCTTAAAACTAGGACCCATCAGTTCTGGACTCTCCCTCTGAGCCTGATTAAGATTTGAAACTTGTGTGTAGTGATAGTGATTGGGAAGATAAACGTTTTAGAAAGTGGTGACTTACCTGAATTGATCATTGAGGAAATTACGACGTGTTTACTATGATCATTCATCTCGAGCTTGTTTGCTAACTCTGATCCTTCTCCATGTCCTAAATTGGTCCCTTATTTGCTGATCATGTTAAGTAAGATTCTCTGGAGCTTTGTTGAATCCTTGACAATGAGATTTTAGGTAATTTAGGGGTCAAAGTTTCATGCCATGGGAGATCTTGATTTCGTGTTTTACATCGAGTGAGATGATTCTAGTTGACCACTTATAGGAGTAGTGATCAAAGTGCACAAAGATGTTTTTGAGATGATTCTAGTTGACCACTTGTAGGATCAGTGATCAAAGTGCACAAAGACGGTCCATTTCTGAATATTCAGCATGAATCTTGCATAAACCTTGTTACGTGAATCTACTGGTTTTCTAGGCTAGATTTCTGGTAGTAACAGCTTGCTTGTCTGTATAAACAGGTGGCTTTCAAGACCGGAGAGTATAAACAACAAGTCATATTTATTGGTGGATTAACCCATGGACTTTTAGCTACTGAGTACGTGGCTTCTCTCTTTGCCCTTAATCTTTATCTTTTGGCTTAAATTATGCAGTGTTATCTTCTTCCTCCCAGTTGTTTCTGCTTTGGATAAAGAGAAATGGTCACTTGTTCAACTACTGATGTCTTCTTCATATTCTGGATTTGGCACTTCCAGCTTGAAACAAGTAAAGACTCTGCTTGATTATTAATTGAGATTGTTATGCTCTGCTCTTTTAATATTGGTCCAATCTGGGGAAAACTAAAGCATTTCTCCGTTCAGCAATTTACTTAACAAGATATCCTTGTTCCTTTTGATGAAGGATGCACAAGAGATCGACAAACTAATAAGCTATCTCATCAACAAAGAGAAGTCTGAGGGCGTTGTTCTGCTTGGTCATAGCACTGGCTGCCAGGTGATTGGTTATGCCCCCAAACACTTTTTTTCATGGTTCCGAAAAAAAAACTATAAAAGAAACTCATTCTTCTCGCGCATTGAAACAGGAACATTGTGTATTATATGGGAACAAATGCCGCGTGCTCCCGAGCTGTAATTTTGCATTTACTATTTCTAGATTCTTTGACTTGTGTTTTTTGTTTGTCTCTTGAAGCTACATTTTATCTTAAGTGAAAGGTCTTGAGTTGGATCTTGTGTAGTGTGTGCTATATCATCTGGACTTTAGTATAGGTTTGATCATATTGCCGATTGCAATGTTAACATTTGTGACTCTCTGTGCAATGTTATATCATGTATGTTCTTTGATAATTCACTGTGTTTATGACTCTCTGTGCTATTTGCTGATAAAAAAAATGTGCAGTAAGACATTTTGTTTTTCTTACGTGTAATCTCTTCCTTTTGAAACATGCAGGAGGCCCTCAGCAAAGAGTCTCTTGGACTCTCCGTATCTCTCAGCTACTGTGAAGTCAGCTTAGTTGTTTGCTGCTTCACTTCACCTTTTGGCCAAGGGTGGAACACGCTTGTATTATGCTGCAAGTTTTGCCAAACAGGGAGCCTGAAAAGCAATGGGAACATTTGTGGCAGAGATGTGTGCTGCGTATTGTGTGCCACTGGTCACAAAGCCTTTATCTGACGAAGAGTTTGAATTGGCCTATGTACTTCTCAAGGATTTTGCAAAATCTTTGACACCAATCGCTGTGCAGAGACTTGTCTTGCCTTCTATCCAGAAGATCTTACTGGTACGCATATTTTGTTGGTTCCCGAGGGAATTTTTGAATATAATTTTCTGTGTGCTTAGAGTACCAGCTTCTTGTTAAGCTCAATTATTCTCTTCTGACAGAGCATCATATGCTCAGACCACAGGTTACTCGCATTTGAAAGTTTCTCTTCTTCAAGATTCTTTTGTGAGGGAACTATGGAATTGTATTGGAAAGAGAGTATATCTTGAAATGATTCATCCTCTAGTCATATCAAACTTGTACAATTCTCCGGACGAGATTTCGGCTTCTGCAGCTTCTGTGCTGCTGTTTGGTTCCTGCGAGGAGCTTGGTGTCCATGTTACAGTCCATCAGGTCAGATAAGATCTCCTGCTCTGGTCCTCCAATCATTTTTTTCTTTTATATATACAACTTTCATCTGGTATGTTATGTGTTTCTGAATTTCTGAAATGGATGCTGACTTTTCCCTTAATGCAGACTATACTGCCTCTGATTAATTACTTCGGAAAAGGGATATGTACTGATGGGATTGATGTGCTGGTTAGAATTTGTACACCCTATCTGTTGGTTCCTGCAACTTAGCTCTTTTAGGATGTTTCATATCTAGCTAAGTGGTTGTAGTGTTGTAACTTTTCAGGGAGATTGTTGGGCTTGAACTTCATTGTTAAAGATGCTGCCATTGCTTAAACATGTTGTTTGCTTCTCTATCGATCTCCATCTTTCTTCTACGAAAAAACCAGAGCCTGTTCATAGCTGGTGTTCTTTAGCACTGACTGATTGCCTAATCACACTCGATGGTCCAGTTGCTCTTATATCAGACGAGTTGCTTATATATGAGCTGACCAAAGTATGTTTTAAAATTTTGCATTGTCCATCTTTACTGTAAGTTTTATTTTAAGCACTTGATGTTTACAATCCTATACAAAATTATAATTTTGGTTTATTAGTTGTATTATAATTTTGGTTTATTAGTTG